CTAAGATTTCTAAGGTGGACTGAACTATAAAAAACCCTATTATAAATGCTGTTCAATTTTGGCATTAAGGTGTAACAATTTTTTAACACCTTAATATTCTTTTTTTTTTGGTAAAGAAAAGATTCATTTGAATAGAAAACCAACACCAACCACAAGAAGCAAAGCAAAAAAAGACAAGAAAAGAAAAAAAAAAACTATAGCAAATTTATATCGATACTACTTTAAAAGTGTAAATAGTCTCAATAATATTTTTGAAATTTTTTAAGGAAAAAATTTACCCCTCCAAATTTAAATTTATTGATAAAATGAGGAAAAATAGGGTAATTGGTTATTGATATTAAATGACTTGAAAAGATGTAATTTTAAGAGATGTAATTTTAAGAGATATTCAATGCATTCAATACCCTCTCATAAAATCCAACATTTAAGGTATTAACTTGCATTCACCTTCATTGAATCATATATTTTGGACATTTTGTTTCTTCTCATCATTAAATTCTATTAATTAAATCCATATATAATAAATTAATAATTTCAATAACATAAAACTTATACTTTTAAAATATACCTTGAAAAAGTGTTTTGATCTAAGTGGTGGTAAGAAATTAAATCATTTTGGTTCAAATGGGAAAATCCATGTTGTCACAATTAAATAATAAAATTCAAAAATAGATAAAATGCAAAAAATATGGAAATTAAAAAAATGAGAACATTTTTAACATCATATATTTGGCACATTAAACAAGAATAAGTATGATAAATAAGAAATGGCTTTATTAATGATAGAAATGGAATGTAAAATCTAAAACTAATTGGAAATAAACATTTTCCTATTTTCACTCATTAAATTTCATATCTAAGGTATATTCTTTCATTAAATCCTATATTTAAGATATATTTTTCTCATCATTAAATTCTACTAATTAAATCTATAACATTAATTTTAATAGTATAAAATCAATACTTTAAAAAAGGAATTTAAAAACAAAACCATTTTCTTCCCTCCCGGTGGTGGGTAAGCAATTCTACCACATGGGGTTAAATGGGTTAATAAATAATGTCATAATTAAATAATAAATAAATGAAATGTATAATACAAATAAAAATAAAAAAGAATTGGACATATATCTAATATTGTATATTCATTATACTAAACAAAATAAGTATGAAATGTAAGAAGTAATCTTATTAATGTTGAAAATGGAATGCCAAATTTAAAATCAACCAAGAAATGAAATGATGTCATAGTCAAATAATACAATTTTTAAAAATAAAAATACAAAGAATCGCAAAAATAAAAAATAGAGAAACATTTGGGCACATATCTAATGTTATATATTTATAAAAAATAAAATATTGGATAATATCTAATATTGTACATTCATTATATTGAAAAAAATAAGTATTATAGATAAGAAATTATTTTATCAATGATGGCAATGTAATACAAAATTTAATGTCAACATAGAAATCAAACAATTTTTTTTTTGGTGGTGGGTTAGTGGTTTGGGTCAAATGGACTAATCGATGATACGATAGCTAAATAGTTAAATCTTTAAAAATAAAAAATACAAGTACTCAAAAGAATATATAAAAATTATATATTAATTATGTCAAATAAAAACTAAGTATCATAAGTAGAAAATATTTACATAATGTAGATGAAATATATAACTTAAAACTAATCTGAAAGAAAAGCTATTTTCTTATTTAGATAGTGGGTCAATGGTCCAACTTTTGAAAGAAACTCATGATTTCATAATTGAATAATAAACATTTAAAAAAATGGATAAAACATAAAAAAATAAAAAAGTGCAGAATTTTGTTAAAAACATTTGGAAACATTTCTAATGTTCTATATTCATCATATTAAATAAAAATAATTGTTAAAATAAAAATTATTTTTATTTATGATAGAAATGGAATACAAAAATTTAATAATAATAATAATAATAATAATGTGTTATTATAATTTAAAATTTCCATGTACAATGCACATGCACATTTACAACAAGCATTTAAGTTTAGTTTTAATTATATTGTTACTTATGTTAATTTTCAATTTCTATCTTAATTGTGATGTATCTAAAATTCAAGTAAATATGAAGAAAAAATTCTCACATGCAACGCATGTACTTAATTACTAGTAAAACCAAAAGGAGCAACCTAAAGAACTAAACAACTAAAAACAAACAAACCAACAACTCTTAAGGAGGTTAGAGGCTGCTGCTAATAAAAAAATTTGATTAATCCTTTTCTAGGGGTGATAAAAGTCACTCAAGAGTATGAGCACTCCTAACTATCAACACCCCTTCTTGTTGATTCATGGACTTAGAGGTGTAAAACGGGTCGTGCTAGGTCAGAACGACACGACCTGCGCAAAGTGTGGGTTGGGTCGTTGGGTTGGCTTGGCATGACCTATGGCTCAAGCCCATGCAGGCCCCTGTCGGGCCGAGCTGTGGACCAGACCAAAGTTTTTTATTTAAAAGAAAAACTTAAAATTTTAAATTTATATGAATTTTGATGTATACAATTGCTTATATATACAATAATTAAATAAAATTCATGCCAGCCTGTAGGCCACAGGCGGAATGACACAACAATGCGGGCCCTGCTGGCCCGATCCATTGACCTGAAACCCCAAGCCCGATACAACCCATTGGCCCATACAATCCTGTCGGGCTGCAGCACTGCCCGTGGACTATCAAGCAGGCTGGCTCAAAATCGTGTTGGGCGGCACATCCCAATTTACACCTCTACATGGGCTACACAGTTGCCCTCCCTTCTCATGAAAGAAAAACTCAAATTCAGACCTGAACAATTGAAAACATCCAACAAAGGATGCCCTCTCTTCTCATGAAAGGGAAACTCAAATTCAGACCTGAACAGTTTAAAACATCCAACAAGATAGGCTAGTCACATGTATCCATATCAAAGGATCTGTTTACTAGAGAGTTTACCATAGATTTAACATTAAATTCTTTGAGCAAGTTAGTGAACTCATAATCTTTTGCCAAACAATCATTCCCTAATTGCAAAAAGCTCAGCATATTCAAGAGAGGGAGCAAAACATGGACCATTCTTTTCAAGCAAAAGAGACCACAAAGCATCTCTAAGTACTAAACCAAATCCTCCATAATTCTTCTTGACAAAACTAGCATCCATATTTTCTTTGACTAAACCAACTACTGGAGGAAACCACAAGACTTGACCTTTAGGAGGAATTTTCATTTGGACAAATTCTTTGCGTCGTTGATGGGAAGCTCTCCACACTACTGCCATCATCTTGTTAGAGAACAAAATTGCGGTATAAGGATTGGAATGCACTTGATTAAAAATAAAATCATTCCTTGCTTTCCAAATATTCCAAAGCAATAGGGCCATGTAATCAAGAATTGTAAGATGATTTGTATCTAAATCAGGTTTATAAGCCACCCTTTCCACCAAACTGCAAGACGTATTTGAAGAAGGAAAGTTTGACCCCAAACTCAACTGACAGCCAAACCAGAAAGCTTTTGCATGATCACAGTTTAATACAGTATGAATAGGGGTGGATTCGAGCTGAGCTGAGTTGAAAATTTGGCTATTCGAGCTCGGTTTGCAGGAATAGTATCAGGCTTGAGTTTGAGCTTGAGCTTGGCTCGGTTCATAGTTCGCAAGTTCAAATTTGACTCGACTTAAGCTTAACTAGAAGCCAAGTTTTTTTTTGAAAAATAAAATTTATATGTATAAAATTATTTTTTATTTTTAGACAAAAATTAAGAATTATAAATTATTTAGTATTATACATGAAAAATGAAAATGTTATATTAATTAAAATATTATTAAATATAATAAAATTATATATATATATATATATATGTGTGTGTGTGTATGTATATATAATAAAAATTATTTATTTAATACTAAACTCATGAACCTCACGAACCGAGCTTTACTAAGCTTGAACTAGGCTCAATTAATAAATGAACCTATATATCAGACTCGAAGTTTGATTTAAACCGAGCCGAACCAAAGTCGAATAACTTGTAAAAGAATCGGCTCGTGGACACCCCTAAGCATGAACAATAGATTCCCGCTCTTTATTGCAAATTGGACAAGATACATCTATAACAATACCTCTATGAGCCAAATTTTCCTTTACTGCTATGCTCTTGAGACAACATTTCTAGATAAAAGTGCAAATTTTGGGGGGAAGATTTTTTTGGTAAAAGGGAGGAACATTTAAAGCTCAAACAAAATTCCAATTCTTTTTTGACATGCAAGATGGATGTTCCACATTTGCCGACTGTAAGGTCAGATGATAGGCCACCATGTACGCTAATTTTACTGAAGATTTGCCTTTTGGATCATGAGTCCACAATAACTTGTCAACACCACCACCAAACCTTGGCAATTCTAAGTTGCAAACTGACTTATTGTTACATGGTGGAAAAAAAATTAAGGAATTTTCTCTATCCTATCCAGCTGAAATGGGATTTTATAAGATCCTTAACCCACCTTAACTGAGAGGGATTTACCCTAGGGCCCAAGAGTTTGAAATCAGGTCACTTGTCCAACCAAGGGTCATCCTAGATGCTAATGGATGAACTATTTGCAATTTTTCCAACAAGCCCCATTTTTGAGAATGTCTCAACCTCCTATAACAAACTCCTATATAAAATCCCAAGAGCATCTCCTAGGAGCTTGGACAGACCAAAAACTCTTTCCACCAATGCATTTACCTTGTATTGGCTTTCACAAAACCTCCAAGCAAGGCTTTGTTAAAGACCTGAGGATGTCTGAAGCCAAGCCCATTATTGAATTTATTTTTATAAAGAATTTTCCATTTTACCCAATTTATTTATTTATTTATTTTTCTTATTTTCCTCCTCCCTCCAAAGAAATTTCCTCTGGGCTCTAACAATTAAAAAACAAGAACTTGTTCTGTGCCGTTCCAAATTCCAATGAATCCCAAGATTTCCAAGAAAATTAAAAGAGAGACAAGAATGAGAGCAAAACAATTTTTTGAGGCATGCAGTTCTAAATTCTAACCCAAGTTAAAGATTTCGAATTCTAACCCGAATGCAGATAATGAAATGTTCCTAGGCAGTAATAGTAATAGAGGTGAACTTAAGTGGGATTCGTAACAGGTGTGGACTGCACATGTACATCAGTTGATAATGAAATGTTGGTCACGGTCACGGTCACGGTCTGTCCTCCTCCGTTGATGGTTTTTGGCATCGACAACTCTTTAGACTCCCTTCTCTTTCCCCATACAAATGCATAGAGACCAACGACAATCATAAACATGCCAATTAACCTTCAAATTGAAATTAGATGTGTTAGACACTCACTCTGTCACTCGGCTATATTACTTAAGAATGGACGTTACGTGGTAGTGATTAGTGAATGAAGAAGAGAGTACTGAGTACTGACGTTCCAAGAGCAATTGGGTCGCCCAAAAACAGGAACTCAGAGATGGCTACGAACACGAGGCTAAGTGGAATGAACATTGGGGGATACGTGGGTCCTTGATTCACAGCCACCCAGCTAACTAGGCAAAACTTTGCACCTGTCGCTAATGATCCCTGTATGCACGTAACATACCATTCAATTATCCTTAATTATTAACATTAGTTGTGATTTGTGATTGCATTGCATAATTAATTAATTAGTTCATTTAGCAATCATACCGAGTAAATGATGGTCGCTAATTCCAAATCCCATCTTAACTCCCATGCAGCCTTGCTTCTATTTATCAATACCCCTACCACCGTTGATTGCATTGACCCCACAATGCAGGTATACATTGTTGTCCAATATTTTGAGGGGTACACTTTGTACAGCTTAACCTGTGCAAAAAAATGAAGATGCTAAAGAGTCACGGGATGTACAAGGAAAGGGCATGATTGGAAAAGACTAATAAAGATCGGCAGGGTAATACCTGTAGTAAGTACCAAATGGACATGCTCAACAAGCTACCCACGAGCATGAGTGTGCCACGTGTCCAATTATGCTGCCTGGCCACTTTTGCAGCTGTTGAGGTGATGAGGTGAGTGTGTGAATGAGAGTGGGGTGGGTTGAATGTCTTGCCCTTGTAAAGACCAGCAATTAATGCTCCTGCAACACACAGCACTACTCCTGCACTCTTCAACTTTCCTTCCCACCTTCCCATTCCCAATTTCTCAATCCTTTTTTTCTTCCAATTAAACAATTCACATTAATTATTAATTCTAATAATAATTCAAGTTGATATAATCAAAATTCTGTTTAGTGTTAGACAAAGTTCTAAATATTAATATGCGCGATATGCTAGTAGGGGTGTCCGGTTCAGAGGTGTTGATTTAAGGTTCTTCCACCCTTGAATCGGTGAAAATCCTGATACACCCTCTGTAAAAACGTATCAATCGATACGTACTGAATTTTTGAACCTTGGTGTCAAAGAATTTTCAGGCCTCGGGCTAGGCCTGTAAGATAATTCAAAAGTCAAAACCATAATTGAGAAACAATAGAATTTAGGTTGCTTGTACGGAGTAAATCTTAATGACCATCAAGATTTGAAAATGGTTCGTCTTAGGCTGTGTTTGATTTGAAGGAAAAGGTAGAGAAAGTTTTGTATAGGATTCTGTAGGCCATAGTCTTTTTTTTTTTTTAAAGAGGTAGAATATAAAAAAAAGAAAGAAAGATATGTGGCAGAAATTATGAAAAAGGAAAAAAAAAAAAGAATTGAGGTAAATTAAATACCTGGCTAATATGGAGAAGGCGAAGGTAACAATAGGAATCAAATTAAGGAAACTAACGCCATACGTAGCGGAGGTGGCTGATAGACCATAATAGTACAACCCCATTCCAATTGTCACCCTGAACCACAACTAATTAAATTAACACAATTTCATATGGGTATTACAACCATTAACAACTAATCACTCTAATCTAAATCATCTCTATCTTGCCTCCATAGATGTGGGTCCATCTTCGCAGTTAAAATAAGGTGTGATGTGGGTCCATATTCAGAGCAGACTACATCTCATGATATCATGATCTTAGCTCCATAATCATATATAGGCCATGCATAAATATGATCATTGGCTATTACCAAAAAAAAAAATTTATGATCATTGGAAGATCACAACCCTCCGATAGACCAACTTTTTTTTTTCATCTCCGTTTTTGCCTCTGTAATTTGGGCCCAAATAGACCGAAGTAAATAAAGCTCATGATGTGTTATGGCGGTATGATTTGAGCCTTCTAATTAACTATAATTAATCATAGACCAAGGTGACATCATAACCGTCCAATAGAACAAACTTCTTTTTTTTTCTTGGATATAGATAGAGGTGTAAATTTGGTCATGCCGTCTGCGGTCCGACATGTTTTTGAGCCGGCTTGGCCTGATGGTTTATGGCCATGGTGCGGCCCAGCATGATTGTATGGGCCGATGGGCCGTGCCGGGTTTGGGGTTTTAGGTTAGTAGCCCAGGTTGGGCCCAACACAGCCCATATATTATATATAATATTTATATAAATTATAATTATATAATAATATATAGTATATAATATATTAATAAAATAAATATTTTTTTTAAATTTTATTATACTATTTTATTTAATTACTATAATATAAACAATTATATACATCAAAATTCATATAAAATTAAAATTTTAAGTTTTTTTTAATCTTTAAATTAATAACTTTAGCCCGACCTGGCTCAAGGCTCGGGCCATAAACTATACCAAACTGAACACCAAAATATCTCAACGGAAGAAGACACAGTCCGCGAGCCATAAAATATCCCAAGAGAAGGAGGCACAGCCGACAGGCCATACCGTGCCACCCCAGCATGGCCCATTTTACACCACTAACTATAGATATCCACAACCTTAGTAGTTAGCACATCCTTGGTGGATGATCCCTTATGACTCAGACCGGACCGGACATGGCAGGCCTCAACTCCTCAAGGCCGTAAATGACCAGCAAAAACCCGCCCGGGTCCGGCCCTTGAGTTTACGGTAACTGATCAACCATAAAATACGGCCCATTTTGCCAGAATCCCGTACAAATATCAAAAAGATCAAAACAAACAAAGGAAGAGTGATTTTTTTATTTCAGTTACCCGAATAAAGCGTTCATGAAAATCCAGAATGAAGCTACCCAGCTGAGCCTCCTTTCTATGTCTCTGTAAAAATGGAAAACAATAATAATAATAATAATATTATTATTATTATTATGAAAATAATAAGAGGAGTTGAAAGATAATTAGAACAGAGTCACAGTGATGAAAGAAATGAGGAAAGAGAACCTGTCGAAGAAGAAAGCAAATGGAGCAACAAATAGAGCTGCCACTAGATGCCTGTAAGTCAATACAGCGAAAACGAAAGATCCTTGATCCAATATGATCCGAGACAACAGCTGCAGCCCTGCGAGCACCACCTGGATAAAGATCATGCTTAGTGCCCATTTTGATTTCTGAAACCAACCCTTGATGCTCATCATCTTCACTGAACTCTTTCGAGTCTCTACCTAAATAGTGAAGCTTTCAGATAGCAGGGAAGAAGAAGAATTGGGATTCGGTATTAAGATAAGAGGAATTGGGCTTGGTTATTTTCTTGTTGTATCAAAGGAAAGCTTGGCTTAGGATTCGGTATTAATGTCGTAGAGGTTGTTTTCTATTTGGATTCCAGAGAGACAGATTAATGTAAAATTAAATAGTTACGCTAGCGACCATGAATGCAAAACGGTGCAGTCGGTGCTTGGCTTTAATAAAAAAGAAAAGAAAAAAGAAGTAAAAAAAGTATTAAACAGCTTATGTGGCGGCTCGGTCAAACTCGTTGCAGTTAACACGCAGCAGTTACCGTCTGGCACGAAGTTGAAACGTATATATGATTAGTGGCGACGGAAATGCATATACAGGAAATATTCCTAATGTGCGAGCGGATGAATGTAGTGCGCAGAATTTTTTATTACAGGTGAATAGGAATGGCAAAGGGGCTGTTGTCGGGTTTTGTCTGTCTGTCCCAATCCCGTTTACAAGTTCGGCGGGGCTAGAAATCTTAACCCATCCTCATGTGAACGGGGATTCTCAAAATTGCTCCACCCGCCCCTTAGGGTGGATTCGAGTCGAGTCGATACGAATAGTATTAGGTTCGAGTTTGATTTGTTTAGGAAATACAAAACTTGAGTTCGAGTTCGAGTTCGAGTTTGATTTGAGGTAGAACTTTGAGCGTGAGTTTGGCTCGAGTCAAAAACTTATAAGCTTAAACTCAGCTTACCTAGGAAATACAAGGGTCGAGCTCGGTTTGAGCTAGAACCTTGAGCTCGAGTTCAGTTCGGCTTGAGCTTGACTTGAGAAAAAAATGTTTTATAAAAATAAAAAATTATATATAAAAATATTTATATTTTATATTTTAAAATTTAAGAATTATAATATTTTTTATTGTATATATTATTTTCTATATATATATATATATATTCGAGCTTGGCTCGCGAGCCTTACGAGCCGATCTCGAGTAGCTCGTGAAGAGCTCAACTCGTGGCCACCCCTACCATCCCTGGTGATTTTTATTTGTATACTTATAAATTTGTTTTATATTTTTTGAAATCTATCTACAACTATTTTATATTATCTAATATAACATAATATAATATATATATATATATATATATATATATTATATTATATAATATAGTTAGGGCAGATTCAGGGCTGGGGTCGAAGTAGGGTGGACAAATACCATTTTGCCCTGTCTCCGATTCTTAGAGTTTCAGGTTTTCCCAAACTTGCCTTGAATCCCAATTAGTGATAAAAAAACCCATCTCGATTAGGGTGGGACCCACGAAGACGGGTCTGCAAGAGAGTGAGGCTCTGCTTAGTGATTACTAATGCAGAACTCTAATTAATGATTACTACTAGTGGAGGGGCCCTACTTCGCAGGGTTTGGAATGGAATCATTGACCCGTTAACCTAGTCCCTGGCCCAAAACTGTTGAATCGGTCAATGATCCATTGACCCGAGTGGTTGAACCATTGACCCGTTCAATGGTTTTTTGCCGGTTTTTTTTTCATTTTTATAATTGGGAACCATCCAAGAAACCGGTTTCGTTTTATCCTAATTCTCAGTTCCTGGCAAAAAATCATTGAATTAGTCAACGACCCATTGACCCAGGCGATCGAACCGTTGACCCATTTAATGGTTTTTGGTCATTTTTTTTATTTTATTTTTAATTTTTGTCGTCAGAACGAGTCATCCGTTCGAACCGAACAATTGAAGCATTGACCCGAAAACCGGTGGCCAAAACAGTTCCATCTTTAGGTCTTGTGAGTCACACGCTCGAATGACATAACACATATGGTACTGCTTAATGGACTTTACACACTCAATTTATTGCTTGTAATTTTTTTGTTAGAACGGGTTATCTGTTTTTTTATTTTTTTTAATTGGGAACCGTCCAGACAACCAGTTCTGTTTTACCCCAAACCCGGTCCCTAGCCAAAAACTATTGAATCGGTCAACGACCCATTGACCCAAGTGGTCGAACCGTTAACCCATTCAATGGTTTTTGGCCTTATTTTTATTTTTGTTGTTAAAACAGTCCGTTTGTTCGAACTGGACTGTCAAACCGTCAACCTGAATATTGGTGGCCAAAACGGTTCCATTTTTGGGTCATATTAGTCACACACTCGAATGACATAACATGTATGATATTGCTTAATGGACCTCACACTCAATTTTTTGCATATAATTTTTGTTGTCAGAATGGGCTTTCCGTTCGAATTGGACGATCAAACCGTTGACCTGAAAACCGGTGGCCAAAATGGTTTCATAATTTTTTGCTTGTAATTTTTTATTGTCAAAACGGGTCGTCCGTTCGAACCAAATGGTCCACCCAAAAACCAGTGGTCATAACGGTTATGTTTTCGGGTCATATGAGTCACACGCTTGAATGACATAACACATATGATACTACTTAATGAACCTCACAAACTCAATTTTTTGCCTATAATTTTTGTTGTCAGAATGGGCTATCTGTTCAAACTAGACAATCGAATCGTAGGTTGTCAAAACATTATTAACAATATTTATCAATAATATTAAGTAATATACTATTTAATTAAATAATCATTAATGATAGTTTTAATAATATTATTTAGTTATTTTTAATATAACAGTAAATATTAAATTTATGAATAGGATTTATTAACAATAATCATTAAATTAATAATTACCAAAATTAAATTAAATTAAATTAACAGTATTTATCAGAAATAGTCAGTAATTATGATATTTTATTAAATAATCAATAACAATTTTAATTATTTTTAGTATAACAATAATTATTAAATTTATTAACAGTATTTATTAATAACAATATTTATAATTTTAATTTAAAGTAAAATAAAAGTAAATATCTATTTATTAACAACATTTATAATAACAGTAACTATTAATTATAATCACTAATTATATATTTATTAAATTACTATAATAATCAGTAATTAAGATATATTTATTAAATTAATTACTAGGTTTTTCTCACGTAGGAATCTACTGGTATATATATAAGGTATCAAATGGGCCTGACCTACCCAATTGGATTTGAGGCCTGGTCCGCATTCAGCCTTGACTAATGACTAGCCTAAAACCATAAACGAAGAAACTGATTTTGTGGGCAGTCGTCATATTTATATTGGAAGAATGGAAGGATCAAGAGCTAGTAGCCAGACGATAGAATCCCAACATTTAGGCCTTGTCCAAGCCCATTGAAACCATTTCCTCAACAAGAGCTAGAGGAGTAGAGGGGTAAAGCTTCTTCCATTCATGCACAAATACATTCAAAATTTCAATCGCCAATAAAACTTTCAAATTGTTTTTTAATGAAGCTTTTCTTTTTTGGTATTCGATGCTTTACACCATTAATAACTTCGTCCTGTTCCTTTTTTCCCAAAATGCTATTTACATATAAAACAAAGTAGCTAATACATCAACGAGCCATCTCTAAATGAAGCTTTTCAACGCCCAGAAGTTCTGCCAAATAAATTTTTTAACTGATTCAGTTCCTAGTTGCTAGTTGGATGTTTATTAAATTTTCTCTCAATTAATATTATGGTTTGGAACTTTGGATGGTTGGACTTTTTGGTGGTGTTTTGGTTACAACTGTTCTTAAAATCATCATATTAGGGAGATACCAGGTTTGTTCATTTATTCATTCTTCATTTCTTTTTCTCATAAAGATTACGGGCATTGATTCAGGAACTTGAACATGCTGTTAATCAGTTTGCAAGTTGTAAAGTAATTTATATAAAAAAAGACCTTATAATATTATAGGAGAACTTCTCCGGCCCTAGTTCAGAATGCTCTTTTCAGTTTTGACAAAAAAAAAAGTGAGATATGTTCTCATACAAAGTTAATAACAATAAAGTGGGTGTTGTGCAATGTATATTGTTTTCTTGTTGCTTGTTCGAAAAATAAATCAAAAGCACCTGATTTGAAAACAGATTATTTCTTAAAATAAAAACATAAAAAACATGTCCTTGTTTGTGTGTATTTTTTGTTTTCAAAATTGAAATAAAAAACTTGTTATTGAATCTATTTTTAAAAACATGATTTCATTAGATTATTTAACATCACATTCCATAAATCTATATTTCTATACCAAAGAAACTGTTTTTATTTTAAAAATCTTTATTTTATTGAATCCAAAAACATGTATTGTTTTTTAAAACAAAATCAACTTGTTTTTTTTTTTTTTTTCTAACGTGACAATTCTAAAAACAAATGAAAGCAAAAACATTTGAGGGTCCATTTGGTTTAATGGAATGGTCTATTCCCATAATTGGAACTAGCATGAATGGGATTTCATTCCCAAAGAAAGGGGAGGGAATGACCTAGGCTTGGCAATCTTGACCCCAACCCATTTGACCCACCCAATCAACCATCCTTGAAACCACCCATACTATTTAACGGGTGTAGGGGTCGAATAACCCATTAGGGTAAGGGTGGGTTGAGTCAAGGGTATCTGATGAGGGCGGATTTGGCCCTCCACTGGCATGGTGACACATGGCACCTCGGAACAATTAGGTGACACCCGGAACCACTTAGGCAACAACTTGCCTTAGCCAAGTTGGTGGTGTCCCACCTAGCAGCCTAGCGACCTAGCCCAGGCGTCGACCTGGCAGCCTGGCCCAGGCACGACCTGGCGGCCTGGCACGGGCGCCGACCTAGCAACCTGGCCCAGGCGCGAACTGGCGACTTGTGACACGTGCTCGGCGACGAATTCAGCATGCATATCCTAATACTCCCACGATCCTTGGAAGTTGGCCCACGTGCCGAACGATCCAAAGGGTGGTCAACGTACATGGTGGTTACCTCCGGGAATCTCGGACCACTTAGACGACCTTGCGGAAATCTCGGATGCGGTGCGTGAAGCCCATGCCAAACAATGCCTATATAAAGGCACCAACCCCAATAGCATTGGGGGGGGGGCAAGTAAGCATATTCTAAATCTCATACTTTGTGATTTTTAGCTCACAGTCTATTATGAGAGTACTGACTTAAGCATCGAAGCAACCTCGCCAGGTTAACATCCCGGAATTCTCTGATATCCTTGCAGGTTCAATGGGCCGTCTGTCTGAAGCTAAGTCACCTCGCGCTCAATCAATTGAGGTCAGTTAGATAAAAGAAGGGTAAAAAAATTAGGGA